GCGATAAGGCCGTCGCCAGCTTCAATGTTAGTTACCGCTGACAAGTTGATCATAGCGTTAACTTGAATGTGAATTTGCTCAAAAGTGAACAGTCTTTGGCTGCACCTGCGTTACTTCACTCTTCTCGCAAATAACACGCCCAGACGGCTGGATAAGGTCGTATCGACTAAGGATGAGCGTGAGCGCAGTTAAGCGGTCTGTTTACGTGGAACATATGCAGGACGAGAGGGCGATGGAATACTGGCTGTAACTGGAGGCCGTGATATGAACAGAAGAGCGTTGCCTGTTGCATTTGATGATCAAAAGTAAACTAGCGCACAGTAAACCTTCGGAAGTGCCACTATTGTAACCTAGCTCCTTGGTGCAATCAGCGGGCTGACGGTTTTGTTAGCTGAGTTCGAGATGAGAAGACGAAGCACACTTATCATGCATCCCATTTGACTTCTGCATCTCTTAGCCATGCCAAGATAAAACTGCTCAAGTAGTATAAGTTCACTTTCAGGAAGCCTTTTGAAGGCACTGGCTACGCACGTAGAACGACGGTTTTTTCTTGTTACTAGCTCTTTTGAAAGAGCCGTTCGGAAATACACTAGCCTGGGTACGCCCGCAAAGCAGAGGAACCTAACTAAATCGGGAGAGGAGACAGATGTATGCTTCCCACGGACGATTTATGTTGCGAATAACTGAACAACAGCAAGTGCTTACTCTTCGGAGCCAAACATAAGAGATAAGCGGCTGTCTGTTATGAGCCTCAGTCGAGGTGTACGTAAGTCGCGAACGATTAGTTCTGTGAGACAATCATTACAGTGCAACAAATGAAACAACTGCGACCCTTTTCGGTCGGCCCGATTCCCCTTTATTTTGCCCGTTCTCATTTTCACACCTCCGGCGTTGAACTCCAGAACCAGGCCAAAGACTGTGATCTCAAAGTACACCCCAGAAACCTATCACAGTGATTTAAGTTAATAGGTAAAACCCTTGCCGCTGCGATCTTCAGGCCTGCTTCCATGTGGGAAGAGAAGAAGTGGAACGCCAGGTGGGAGGAATACTATATTCTGTAAAGAGGTAGTGACGAGAGGAGCAGCGTCCTTAGTGTAAGAGCGCGGAAGTCATTAGAGTAAGGTTCTGTGTGAGTCAGCCTCGAA